TCGTGGCAGGCCCGCCTGGGTCAAACTTGGGGGCAAGACCAGACTCCAGGGGAAGGTGGAGGAGGCCGAGGTAGGAGACCGAGGCCCAGCCAGGCCGCCCAAGGCCCAGGCGTGGTGGGGACCAGGCCTTGCCTCACCCAGTCCTACCCCCAGGCACGGCCACACACGGCACACAGCAACAAGACCACGAGCAACATGGAGGATGGCCACGGTGGGCAGGTGACACGCCAGCCTCCACCAGGCTGCAGCCCACAGCCCCACTGCTGCCGCCCCGTGGTGTACGTTCCTGCACACGCGTGCGCGCACACACACGCACACACACGCACACACACACACACACACACACACACAAGCATGTCCCCCTTTGATCTCCAAAGGACGCTCCATTTACAAGCTCTTAATCGCAGCTGCCTTCTCAGGGCCTGCCCGATAATGTCCGAGTAATGGGATTTGGCACTTCTGAGCCATCCCCGTCCGGCCGCTCCCCAGTACAGGTGGACATTTCCCCCCCCTCTTTTTCACTTCTTTTTTCCTTTTCAAAAATAAAATGCTCCTGAAACAGCACTGACTTGACGGGGCTGGTCGCCCAGTCCTGTCAACGGGGCCAGGAGAGGGGCCAGGTGGCCGGCACACCAAGGGCCCGACCAGCTGGGGGTCTTTGATGCGGCTTCCATGTGAAATCCGAGTGAAAGACGGAGGAGGACGGTTTCGGGAGCACAGTGCCGTGGGATTCATCCCGCCTCGTGCTCTTCCCTTTGTCTCTCTTCCCATGACCCTCTGGGACGTTCGGGGAGAGGGTCCCAGGGTGGGTGCCGGCGTGTGTGCCAGCGTGAGCATGAGGGTGCACAGGGCAGGGTGGGTGGAGGGCAGGGCCTCAGCCATAAGAACAATGGGCAGCAGGGAGCACATCCACCTGTCCGCCCCTTCGTCTGTCCGTCCATCTGCCCGCCCGGCTTACCTCACCTGCCTGGTTCCGTGTGCCTGCTCACGCCCCACCGTCCCGCGGTCCGCCATGATGGGCTTGGCCGTCCGCCTGAGCACTTTCAGCCACTCCAGGACGCGGGTCCCTGCTCTTGGCCACTGTGTGGCTGGGAGGAAGGAGTGTGACTCTGGGCTGCAGCGCGGGCTCCCACCGCCGATTGGCTGAGGCGGGGACCAGATGACGGCCTCAGAACCCTATGGTAGCCATGGCAACCAGCCCCTTTAGACACCGCCACCCTGAGCCACTTCTGACTGCTGAGGGAGCAGGCGGTGCCGCCGAGGGCCCACACCAGGGTCCCCTTGGAGGGTTGGGTCAGGCATGACCAGACCCCACTCCTATACCAACTGTTGAGTGTTTGTGTGTGTTTGTGTGTGTATGTTTCTTGTATGTCTGGTGTGAAGGGTCCCTGTCCCTTTCTTGGGACGTGTCCGAGGCCACTCCGTGTCCTGTCTGACCACCTGGTGAAGGCAGGAACAATATCTTTTTAGCCTGTCCTTCGACAAGGATTTCAGGTCAGGCTTGCCCCAGGAGCTGAAGGCCAAGCCATCTGGTGAGAAAATAATGGATGAGGGCAGCAGGAGGAAGGGCAGTGAGAATTCCCCAAGTAAGGGAGACAGAGCCAAGCTCTCAATCCACCTCAGCCCCCAAAGGGGCTGCCAGCTTCTTCTCTGCCTGCCACGCCCTCCTCCACACTCTCGCTAGGCTACTGAACGCAGAGACAGGCTCACACAATCCCCTCTCGAGTGTTTAGAGGCCCCAGCCTGGCCCTGGGCTTCACAGACCCAGTGTCTGTGTCCCCGACCCAGCAGGACTCTGAGACTTTGGTCAAACCAGGCACTTTCCAACCCTGCAGAAACGAAGTACACACCTGTGACTTTGTCCCTGCTCTTCCCTTGATCTGAACCCCCGGGGTCTGTCAGCACCAGCCCCTTGGGAAGGCCTTCCCCGAGGACCAGGACCAGGGCTTCTCACCAAGGGCTCGGTGCAGCTTTACCCCAAGGACTGACCATCCCGGGTGCACCAGGGCAGCGAGCATCCTGGAGCCAACCTGCCCCGTCTCTGAGAGAGTCCAAACATTTTTGGCTCAGCACCAACGAGTCCAGCCTCCTATGAAATCGAACAGAGAGCCCCGGAAGCCACCTCCCACTTCCTGGCCCAGGCCCAGCCCACACCTGCTGAACATAAAGGAAGTGAGCAATAGCCACCGGCCTGTGAGCTGGTGTGAGTCCCAGGTCCCTGGGAAGAGGCCGGGGACTGCTGAGGAAGCCGCTGCCCGCGCCGGAGGGACCCACAAAACAGGAGGTCCCTGGAACACACCGAAGCAAGTGGGCTCAGGGTGGGCTGGGCCAGGCCTCGAGCCCCACAGCACAGAAGCTGCTCAGCCAGCGCCCCGACTCGGCCCCTCCTGAGCTGCTCAGTCATGGAGTGAGGCCCTAGCCTCGAGGGCAGGCTCTCAGTGAGGACACAGGCCTGGCTGGCTGGAGGCGGCGGAGGTCCAGGGGCTGAGGGAGAGCTGGGGGAGGGCTCTGGCGTGCTGCCGCAGAGAGTGCCAGGTGGCACAGGGCTGGTCCTGCTGAGCAAGTTCATCTGACCCAGGGCTCCAGCTTCGGAGAGAGGGTTCAAGGGGCTCTGCGGCACAGGCCGAGGGAGGACACTGCAGGTAGCTAGGCCTCGCAACAGCTCCTCCGGGCTCCTGGCACCCGGACACAGCCAGCCGGCGCAGGGCCAGGATGTGAAGCCCTGCCTGTTGTCTCCACATCCACCACCCTGCAAGCCAGGGCACCCCCGAACGCTCCTCCATCAAGAGCCTCAAGATGAGGGGTCAGGCACAGAGACCTAGACCGGGCCACACCCTTCCTGACCTCAGCTGTCCTTCCTAGGCCTCGGGACATCATGCTGTTGACGGTCACACTTGTCAAGGCCCTCCACTGCCCAGGTCTCAAGGGACCTCTCCATCTGTAGCCAGTGACAGACAACCCTCACGGCCCTGGAATGGCTGGGCTACAAGGGGACCAGCGCGACTTGCCCAAGCTCCTAGAGGGGCTGGGAAGGGACAGGGGCACAGCCTGTCTTCCCACTGGGGGCCGGTGCAAGCAAGGCAGCTCCAGCTTCGGCAGGCTTGACCTCGGATGGTACAACTAAGCAGCCCAATAGAGAGGCCTGCGGGGCTGCAGGGACCCAGGGAGGGGGCTGGAGGCCGGCACAGACACAGGCATAGCCAACTAGCAGAGGTGTGGCCCCTGAGGAAAAGGAAGGAGGAAGATGCCTCTGGAGGGGGAACGGAGCCTGGCGGTCTCCCACAGCTAAGCTCCCGGCTGGGGCGCACGTGTGAGCGTGCGCTTCCCACCTTCTGGAAGGGAAACAGTGTGTGTGGCAGACTCTCCCTCCCACAGGCCTTCCCAGACCTGGGTTATTCTTTCATTTGGGGTGGGGAGGGGAGGGGAGGGGAGGGAGGGAAACCTGTCATTCACCGAGAGCCTCTTAACCTTTCCTGAGTCCAGGATACGTGTGGGAATTTGAGGAGACTGATAGTGACACGACCAGAGAGGGCCACAGCCACAGCCAGGCCCGCTGCAGGGGAGGGGGAGGCGAGTGCACGCGGGGTCCACACCAAACTCCTCCTGTTGACCAGCAGCACTGGAGGCCAGTCTGGGCTGTCCCCGTGGTCACCCCACGTCCCCAGGGAGAGCAGAGGGGCGGCCCTAAGTCTTTCCTTGTGCTGCCCCCAAGTGTGGTGACCCCTCTGCAGCGGGGCCTCTGCTTCAGGCGGGAGACCCGGGCCAGAGGCCACCCTCCCCGGCTGTGTCCCGCAAGCAGCCTAGTCCCCACCCTGCTCCAGCCACACACCTTGTGCCAGCAATTACAAACACTGGGTCCTGGCAGGAGCTCCCCCAACCTTGACTGACTTAGGGTAGGAAAGGGCACATGAGCAAGGCGCGGCTGAGAGCCATGGCCAAGGAACTGAGGACGTCCTGGCACACAGCATGGGGGGTGGGGGTGGGACTCGGGACAAAGGCCGGGCTGGAGAGGGATCAGTCTGACTCAGTTCAGGGCTGACCACGGAAACCGCGAGGCAGGGGTGAGGAGGGCTGGCCAGCCCGGAGCACCAGCCGCCCAGCCACAGCCGGGGGCCAGGGTTCGCGGAGGCAGGATGAGCATCGCAGGCCAGCAAGGGCCAGAGCACGACTGGGGGGGCACCGTCAGTCTTCGGTAAAATTTTTGAAAAACTAAAAACTGTTCACATTAGGACACCACGTGGAAAAAACGATCGTGTGCACCAAGACCTGGGTCCAGAGGCGTGTCCGAGAGGACTTGGGACCGGTGAAAGCATTCGCTGGCTTTGCAGACACCCCGGGATCACTCCACAAAGGGCAGGCCCCTCTGTTCGAGGACCTCCCCATGCTGCGCGGTGTCCAGGACGCTCCTGAGGCTCATTTGCCGCCCAGGCCTGCACACGGCCCAGCCACGAGCTTCCTCTGGCCTCTGCCACTGTGAACATGGCCCAGAAGTCCTCACTTCCACAACCGCCCTCCGAAGAGCTGGGTGTTCTTTGATCAGCTGCCAGGACCAGGTCGGGGGGATCCCTCCCTGTGCTCCCAGCGGGATCTGAATGGGTCTCAATGCTCAGTACTCCCAGGGAAGGGTTGGGGAAGAGGATCAAGGCACCGCCAAATCTCAGAGCAGGAATGGGCCTCAGGGTACCTGGCCCAGCCTCCCGCTGGGAATCACATCCCTGCACCTCCCAACCCGGCAGGGGTGGCACTCGCCACCCTGAGTGGCCAGCACAGATCTTTCCCTGTCACCCCCAGAGTAAGGCTGCAGCCTCCCTGGCTCTGGAGGACACTCCGGATGGAGGGGGCGGTGCAAGCGGGAAATGATCTGCTGCAAGATGTCTTCAACTACACTGGAGTCCCTCCTAGGGGAAGGGGGCTCAGCCGCATCCCGGTGTCGGGGGCAGGCGTGACGAGGTCGAGGACTACTCAGGGGCGCTCTGGTCCTCCAAGGAAAGCAGCACACACACGGCCTGGCTCCGACTTTACTTGTGCTGCCCCCACTTCAGGGGGAGGGGGTACCGCACAGGCAGCAAGACCTTGAGACCCTGGGGCAACAGACCCCTTGGGGCCTCCACAAAGCTCCCCCAACCCTGGGAGCTGCTGAGTCAGCAGGCAAGAATGGGTTCATCCACTACCCAAACGTGGCCCCCGCCACAACCCCAGGCTGTGTCCACGGTGCCGAAGGGGGTGTGGCTGGGTGCGGCTGTCCAGTGGAGGTCACTGCGCGCTCAGCTCGTACTGGCTCTCTTCTGCACCACCACTGGCTCCGACAGTGCCTGCTGCTGAAGCCGCTCAATCAGCTCCTCCACGTAGACCTTGAACAGAGGAGTCGGGTCCTACGGGAGTGAGACAGGGTCAGGACGCGTGGCTATGGGGTAGGTGCGAATCCAGCCGGCCAACCGCCAAGAGGAATCTGGCACAAGAAGACTGGACCCCTCAGGCTTGGCTACAGCCACCGGCCCAGAGGATGGTGTCCCTGTCCACGAGACAGGGGCCACCTTCCCTTGGGGACAGAGGGATCAGGCATCTGTTCCCAGCTTCTCTGCCTTGGGGCCTTATGGCTACAGATAAACGTAGCAGAGAACAGGGGCAAGGGCTGCTGTCCCATGGTGGGTTCCCTTTTCCAGCAGCGACCACAGCTCAGGCCCTTCTAGGGTACAGACACAATAAGACCTCAACAAGAGGCACTGGGTGGCTCAGTCGGTAAAAAGTCCGACTTCGGCTCTGGTCACGATCTCGTGCTTCATGAGTTCAAACCTTGCGTCGGGGTCCGTGCTGACAGCTTGGAACCTGGAGCCTGCTTCTGATTCTGTGTCCGTCTCTTTCTGCCCATCCCCTGCTCATATGCTCTGTCTCTCTCTCTCACTCTCAACAAAATAAACATTAAAAAGAAAAAAAAAAAAAAAAAAAAAAAAAAAAAAAAAAAAAAAAAAAAAAGAACCTCAAACTCAGTAACAGGAAGACCCCAGGGCAGGGAGATGCTAGGCGGCCAAATAAACCAAAGGTGCCACCCAGAGTCTTTCTGTCCATCAACTTATGAAGCCAGCCGGGGGAGTGGGGGTGGCGGGCAGGAGACGCTCGGGACCTCGAGGGGACGGCGCGCTCACAGAACCCAAGGCTCTGTCAGGGCAGCGGGGCCCACCCAGTGCAGCGGCCGCTAGCCCGAGCCCCAGAGGCAGTCCATTCCCCCACCCCGTCTGCCTGCCGGTGCTCCTCGGCTGGTGCTCACACACGCTCACCTTCTCCTCCAAGAGCCTCTGCTTCTCCACAGCCTCATCCAACGTCAGGCCGACCCACTCGGCCTCTGCCTCTGGGATGACAAAGTCCTGCACAGGAGAGAGCAGGCCACAATGGGGCCGAGGGGACCAGCCAGTGGGGCTCACAAGGAGCAAAAGTACAAGCCAAAGCGCTTACTTTGTACTTTTCGTAGATGGTGGCCCGCCTCTTGGGGTCGTCCGGGTGCAGCTGGGGGTCCTGTCGGGCGAGCCGCAGAAGCATCCCTCGCTTCAGGTCCATCCCGAACTTGGAACACAGGTCCTCCTTAGGAGTCTGCCAGGAGGCTATGCGTGGGGCCAGGTGTGGCTGGCCAGGCCCTGCCCACCCGAGGGCAACCCCACCAGGCTCCTGCTGGGCAGCTGAGGGCCCAGGCCGTCAGAGGACAGAGGAAGGTGCAACAGCAGGGAAGGAGGTGGGGCCCTCCCCCAACACAGTAGCGCCCCTCGCTAGCCAGAAGACCCCACTGTGTGCTGACTGGCACAGGCCCCCACCTCCCCGCTTGCCTTGAGGATGTAGAAGTCGAACCCATAAGCCTCGTCAATAAGGTCCAGGGTCCGCATGGTCACTGTGACGGTGAATCTGGTGTCCAAGATCTCACTGTACAGCTGGCGCTGAAACAGCTGTGGTTTCCACACCTTCTTCACCCTCTTTGAGAGCTAGGGGAGCAACAGAGACTGTGTCGGGGCACCTACCTGAGCCGGGACACGGAGCCAGACCGACCCGCTCCCACCCGTGGACCCAGAGATCAGCATCTGCTCAGCCAGTGTGGCACCTGCTGACCATGCCCGGGGTTGCGGGGGTGTGTGCCACACGTACAACCATCACTCCGCGGTTCACAGGCCATCACGTTCCACACCAGGAACCAAGGGACCAAGGGCAAAGGGAGATGCCAGCTTGGGAGCCACCCCGCAGGGGGCTCAGCAGCCCCTGCAGGTGTCCCACCGGAGACGGAGCAGTGCGGACGGCACACTGCCCATCTCTCAGCCATCCTAAGTGCAATGAGAAGGTGGGAGTGCCAGCCCTGTACGGGTCAAGGACACAAACTGTGGCGTGCCAGGCTGACAGGTGACTGAACACCTGGCCTCTCCCTACCTCCTGTCACACACAGATCTCGCTCCTCATCCTTACACTTGATCTGGTTTCCACCCAGGGTCTCTGCACTTCCTGTTTCTGGTACAGGCCACCCTGTCCCGGGAGACCCGACTGGGTTCAGTCATGTGTGCCACAAACATGGCTTCACACACGAGCATGCTTCTTTCATGGAGCCGAGTCTGCACCCCACTGTAGGCGCCCACGCGCCCACCGTCCCCCCCGCCCCGCCCCCCGGCAGAGCACTGAGCCCAGGGCAGCAAAACCCAGAGAAGCGCCCCCGCCCCCGCCCGAGCCCGTCCGGCTCACCTACCTTGTCGTTGTTGACGTATCTGTGGCCCAGGATCCAGCCCTCCCCGCCCCAGAGCCCCAGCTGGGACTCTGGCGGGTAGTAAATGGGAATGGGCACATCCTCCACACGCTCCCGCTGCCCGTTCTTGGGGTTGATCTTGAACTTAACCCCGTGCGGCCTGTAGTGCACGGGGGTGGGCGTTCGCACCTGCTCCTGCGAGCGCAGGTAGTGCCGGGGCAAGCGGGAGCAGATACCCTCCCGCAGCCGGAGCTGCTTCCACAGGCCGACCGGGACCTTGTGCAGGGGCATCGCGGCGGGCCTGGCAGGGGGCGGGGGCGGGCCGCCGTCACTCCGCGGCCGCGACCCCCGGCGCCAGCCGCCGGGCTCCCGATCCGACTCGACCTCCTGACTCCGGACCCCGACCCCCGACGCCGGCCTCCTGACTTCTGGCCCCGGCTACCCGCGTAGCTTCGCCCCCCGCCCCTAGACCCGGCCCGACCTGCAGCCCCTTACTCTGCGCAAGTGACTCGAACCGCGAACCGGCCCCCGCACCCTTCCAAGCTCCGCGCCCCACCGGAAGCAGAAGTCGGACGCAGAGCTTGACCCGCCACCCGCCGCTGACTGGCTGGAGAGCCCGTCCGTCTACCCTGGTCCCGCCCCCTCTCCCGCCTTTAGGGACCGTGCAAAATGTCCTGCAGTGACGGCGGTGGCTCAAGGCACCGTCGGCAAATGAGGCCCCTTCTGCCACGAGGAGAGCCGGGGACGCGGCGGGGCGGAGCTTCTCATCCCAGGTCCCGCTCCCTCTCCTCCCCCGAGAGCGAAAATCGATGAAAAACTCTTGTGCCTTGAAATATCACTTTAGAATATTAAATATTAAATTCACCAATCACAGCGAAATAAGAGCTACATAAAAATATGCCCTCATGTCTCAAAATTTTTTACCCCCCAAAACACCGTATATAAATGTTTCCCCTGTACAAGCCTAGGGAGTTATCTAGTGGCCAAGCGCAGGGTTAAAGGGGTGGAGGAGGCCTCCAGGGGGCCCACACCCCGGACTGGACCCGGAAGGGAAGCCCCCCCCGTGCCCCCCCCCACTGCCGCAGGCCAGTAGGTGGGCTGGGCTGCGCGCCCCCAGCCCGCCCTCAGCTGCCTCAGCCTTCTGCGGCCCCTCCCGGGCCCATAGCAGCAGCGCTCTGCAGTTTTGTCCTAGGGGCGAGGCTGGGCACCGGAAGCGGAGAGGCCGGGCCAGGTCCCTGGGAAGCCCTACCCCAAGCACACAGGTGGGCCCAAGCAGGGCTACCTACAGTCATCACCTCCTCTCTGGGGAGCGACCTGTCATTCTGGGTTCCAGACAAGGTCCCAGGAACCCCAGAGGAGGCTGAAGGCACAGACTCGGGCCAAAGTGTGCCCTGTGGTACCACACCCCTAGAGCAGCTCAGCAGCCCTCCCCCTCTCCAGGGCCTGCTGCTCCAAGGCTGAGAGCCAAAGGGAGGGGCAGGGCAGGACCAGACAGCCAAAGGGCAGCCTCTCCGTGTCACTTGTGGCAGCCCGGTGCCCATCAGCTCCCTGGGGACTACGGACACCTCCCCCCACACCGTTGCATCAGTGGGGAGCATGGCGCGAGTCAGGGAGCCAGGACGCAGCGGGGGCACAGCGCCCAGGCTCAGTGGGGCGGGGCCTCCCCTGTCCCCTGGGGTCTCACTCACATCACAACCTCACCCGGGAATGGGGCAACGGGGAGTCTTTCTCCACATCTCCAACCATGTCTACGCCAGAAGAACACAGAGCCGGCCCCTGTATGGTACCTGTGGTCTCCGGGCAGCCCGCCCAGGCCCCAGGGCCCCCCCGCAGACACCGGAGCCAGCACCCGGCAGGCACGGGGGAGGGGGGACGTGTGGTCCCCTCCCCAGGAGGAAGCGGAGGGGTGCGCAGGGCAATTTTATTCAGCTGGAAATCAGTCCGGACAGGCCCTTCTCTCCCTTGGTCCTGCCCCGGCCAGAGAGGTCATCATCACAGCCGCGGGTGTCCCGGAGCCGGCCACGTCACGTCACCGTGTACAGCTCCTCTCGGTGGCTCTTACAGATCTGGTAGCGGCACGTGAGCTTCTGCGAGCAGGCCCAGGGCTCGGTGTGCTGCTCTCGCGGCGGGAGCAGGAAGGCCGCACTTCCTGCCAGCAGCATGTGCCAGATGCTGTGGGTGTAGTAATAGTTGTCACTGGTCATCATAGAGGTGTAGATGGCCACGGCCACAGCGGCCATGGAGATGCCGGGCAGGAGGTAGAAGACCCAGCGCTGCCAGGAGGTGGGGTAGCAGCGGCGCCGGTGCCCGCAGCGGTACACCTGGAGGAGACGCCCCGTGAGCGACGGCAGAGGAGGATGTGGCCGCGGCTCCCCGGGGCCCACCCGGGTCTGGGCAGCGTGACCGTGTGTGGCTGCTCGGGGAGGACTCAGGGGCACACAGACCGCGCAGGTCTCGCGCCTGGGCCTTGAGCGCGAAGCCGCGCTGGGCCCTCGCGGTGCCCCTGGCAGGACGCAGGCCCAGGCCCAGGAACACGGCCAGAACCCGGGGCCGGGCTCTCTTGCCCCGGGCGGGCAAGGGGAGTCTGCGGGGGGCCCAGATTCTCCAACCCCAATCACCCAGGCGGGGGGGGGGGGGGGGGCGGCTCTGGGCAGGCCCTGCCCCAATTCCTTACCCACATGGTGACCATAACCACAAAGGCAAAGAGACAAGGCCCCATCATATTCCAGGCACCCCTGCGGTCCAGCTGCAAGGACATGGCGAAGATCAGGGTGCCCAGGAGAAACAGGACCTGGCGAGACAGGGGGGACCGCAGGCTTCCACGAACCCTCGGCCAGCGTCACTGGGGTCCAGCAGGAGCAGGTGGACTGGGCACGCATGTCATCCTGCCGTCCCCCCCGCCCCGCCCCGAGAGCTGCTGGCACACTCTGTCCTGCTCCGCTGGCTGGGAGGGAGCCCCCCGACCCCCAGCTCCTGCGTTGCTGGGACCCATCGCTCCCACCGATCTGTCCACAGGTGAACTTCTGAGGCACAAACCCGGCCGGGCAAGGCACCAGGGCGTGTGTCTCTATCAGCCAAGGCTAGCTGATGCAGAAGAGTCCCCAAAGTGTCCTGAGCACCAGGACTGCAGGAGCTCAGCTGGGGCTTGTCGGGAGGTCTGGCCTGGGGGTGGGGCTCGAGGCCTCCTCTCTGAATGGGGCTCAGGGAGAGACGGGCTGGGGGCCTCACTTGGCCCTGCCCTGGCACCCTCCAAGCAGCCAGCCCCCTCACGGCTACAGGCAGCCGAATGGTCGTGACAGGAGATGAGAAGTTTCTAAGAGCTGAGCCCTCTTTCTGGTCTCTTCCTCAACATGCTGCATGCCAGGGTCCCTGCGCCCTAGAGGCCAGACTCAGCTGTCCAGAGTCACTCACGTGTTTCAGGGCTGCCTTCAGCCGCGCCATGCAGAGGATGGTGACCCAGATGGACACGCCAGAGCCCAGAAAGTCACAGTACTGCAGCGTGTCATAGCTGAGGATGCACAGCACCGCCTCCCCGGGCTGGTCACAGGCATGGTAGAACTGCAGGGCAGGGCGGTGAGAGGCTGCCTAGCCCCGCCCCCGCCCCGCCCCCGGCCCCGCGTGCCGTGGGAAGGAGGCGCCTACCGTGGAGAAGAACATGGTGTAGGCGTAGACGGAGGCCTCCACCAGGAGGAAGCGGTGCACGGAGATGGCAATGGGAGCCAGGAACATGAGGTTGCTGAGGGTGAGGAGCAGGGTGGCCACCCTCTGCTGGGCCACCGTCTGGGCTGTGCTGTTATCCGTGCAGCTCCACCCACGCCAGCCTGTGGGCCAATGTGACGCCAAGGGGGCTGAGGCCAGGTGAGGGGGGACACTTCTGAACCTCAGGGCCTACCCTTCCCATAGAGCTCTGTGGGGAGGCCCCCTCCTCACCCAGGAGCAGGCTGGGGCAGGTACTGGCAGGGGAGGCCAAGGTCAGGCGGGAGCACTATCTCTGGGGGGTGGTCCCTCTGTGCCGGGGGTGGGGGGGGACGGGGGACTGAGGAGACACGGTAGGAATGGGGAGGAGGGATTTGCCCTTGTACTGCAGTCACTCTCCAGCCTTGACAGAGCTTACACGGGCTCCCAGAGGAAGGCTCCGGGCTCGGAAGCCAGCGGCAACAATGTCCGGAGGCAGGGCGCCCAGCCGGCTCAGAGGAACATGCAACTCTTGATCTCAAGGTCATGAGTTTGAGCACCACATGGTGGAGAGATTACTTAAATATACTTTTAAAAAAAGTGGGGGTGCCCGGGCAGTTAAGTCAGTTAAGCGCCTGACTCCTGATATCGGCTGGAATCATCATCTCACAGTTCATCAGTTCGAGCCCCACATCGGGCTCGGCGCTGAGAGTGCGGAGCCTGCTTGGGATTTTCTCTCCCTCCCTCTCTCTCTGCCCCTCCCCCACTCATGCTGTCTTTCTCTCAAAATAAATAAACTTAACAAACCAGTGTCTGGAGGCAGCCAAGGCTGGCACTCACCTGCCTTGCAGCTGCAGCCTGCGTACAAGTAGCTGTGTCTACGCAGCAAGAGGCACTGGCCGTAGGGTCCGCAGTCGTTCAGGCAGGGCACCAGGTACAAGGTGGTGTCCACCAGGACCGAGGCCTGCTCACACTCCCTGCGAGGAAGGAGCCACAGGAAGGCTGCTGCCGTCCCCATCAGTCCCCCGTCACTGCTCCCAGCAGGCTCTTGGACGCACGAAGCCAGACTCGATGCGCCCAGGCTCCAAGCCTCAGCTGTGTGCTCTGCCGAGGCGGAGGTGCCCTTTCCCCCTCGCCCCTCCCTGCGTCCCAGTCTCCCAGGGCTGTGCCCTGGGCTGGGATCCCTCCTCGTATCCCGAGGCCCAGGGCTGCAGCAAGCAGAGTGACCAGACGGAGGAGAGGTCCCCTTCACCACTCCCAGAGGGCGGCTGGCCCCACGTGGCTTGTAGGAAGCCTGGCCCCTCCCGAACTCAGAGCCGGGTCCCAATGCATGGTGCAGATGCCTGCCCCAGCCGGTGGCCCCCGAGGGTACTTACTCAGGACTCTCGGGGCACACGAGCTGCAGGGAGAGGTACCAGTTGTCTGTCTCTGGGTAGGGGATGACGAGGTCGGCCTTGCGTGACGAGGCGCTCAGAGACAGGGGGTAGCCCTGGAAGAAGGCTGTAGGGAAGTGGCAAGGAGTGATCAGAGGCGGCCAGAGGGGCTGCCCTGGGTCGCCTGGCCAGATGCCGCCTGCCCATACCTGTCGTGCAGTTGAGCGACGTGTTGAAGCTGAGGAAGGGAGAGGCAGCGTTCACGCACACCGCTACCAAGGTGTTGTTGGTGACCGCGGTCTGGAAGGGGAGGCCGGGCGCAGTCAGCCCTGGCCACAGGGCGTCTGCCCTGAGCTCCCCCTCTGTCTGTGCCGGGCACCATTCTCTGTGGCTCCTGCTGGCCCAGGGCCCTGCAGGGACCCTTCCTTCCAGGCCTGGGGACACCCAGCCTGGCCCCACCCGCAGCCCCATTATGCCCTTAGGCACAGCCCAGAGAACAGGCCTTCTTTTCCTGAGAAAGAACCCCTGTTCTGCCCCAACACCTGCCCGAAAGGCTGACCTTGTCTCCATGCCAAGGTCAGCGCGGGAAGACCCGAGCAGCATCCCTCAGCCCGGCCAGGTGCGAGCCCAGAGCTGAGCCCGGCCAGGGGACGCCCCCAGACAAAGGTACCTGGTTGGCCTGCAGGGAGACGGTGAGGGCGCCGCCACTGTCCATGCCCGTGTTGAGGTGCAGCTGCAGCACCGAGGGCACAGCTGGCCGCACCAGCAGTGAGGCCCTGTCCACAGGCCGGAAGCGTACAGACACCACGTCCATGTCCTCCCGGATGACCGGGTAGCTCCTGAGGCAGAAGGGCCCGCCGCCCAGCCCGCCGCTCCTGCCTGGGCCACGCGAGCCAGGGCTGGGGGGCAGCAGGCCAGAGGAGGCGTTAGAGCTCTGGTTGGTGCCGCTCTGCAAGAGGTGCTGGAAGTTCAGAGTCCATGGCCTGCAGGCTGTGAGGAGGACAAGGGGCTCAGCCGCAGGCAGGCCCGGGGGGGGGGGGGACGCCAGGGGGCAGAGTCACCCGCACCCTGCCGTCTCCACGCAGCCCACCTGTGAGGGCAGCCACAGCCCTGAAAGCCACCGACACATGAGGCCCCACCAGGCTCCTGGCTGTCACTTGCAGCCAGCGGTCCCAGGGCGGCGAGGGCAACAGCAGGTGGCAGGCCCAGCCGGGGCTAACGCAAGTGAGCACCTTCTGGAAGTTTCTGGGCAGGGTGGCTGAGCCCACGGTAAGGCGCACAGGGCAGCCCAGGCTCCCATTGGTCGCGCAGCCCTGCAGCTCCAGCCGCAGCTCCTGGGTGTACGCAGGGATGAAGATTCTGTGGCCAAGGGGATACAGTCTTGCTCAGGCTCTGCGACTCCCACCACCCTCCTGCGTCATTTGCACTCGGGTCGTTGGCCAAAGGGGCCTGGGCATCTGGCCCTGAGACCCAGGCCCACACACTGAGAGCGGGACCGCCCGCTCTACCAAACCCGGAGGCTCAGCCTCCCCCAAGGGCCCCGCTCACTTGAGGTAGCTGGGCTGGGAGAGGAGAGTCTGTGGAAGGGGCACACCAGGCTCCAGGATGAACACCTCGACTGCCCGCAGCACAAGCATGTCAGGCTGGAAGGCGTAGGCACAGGAGGGAACGAAACCCTGGTAGGGGAGGCAGAGAAAATGCAGACATGGGGGGTCAGGGCCAGAGCCCAGAGCCCAGGCGTGGGGGGCAGAGCTGCACTGGAACAGGGCAGCAGGCTGGAGGGAAAAGTCTGCCCTGAGGAGGTCGACGACAGTGACTGGGCGCTCGTGCACTGAGGGGTCCTGCCCCCCCCCCCCAATCGCTGGAAGACAGCTCCCTTACCTTCACCTCAATCTTCTGGGATGAGGGCGGCAGGTGGGCAGCCACAAACCAGTCCCCGGGCGCTGGGTGGGACAGGTTAACGGAAGCATTGCTCTGCAGCATCTTGATGAAGAAGGAGGGCTGCACGGAGGTGTTGGCAGGGAAGCTGGTGTCCAGAGGGTTGATGACGGGAGGGGCGCCGTAGCGGAAGTACCTGGAGGCGGGAGAGCAAGCCAGGTGTCAGGTGCGGCCCGTGGGCGAGTCTGGGCAGGCGGGGGCGGGAGGCAGGCGGGGGCACCTACACGGTGATCTCCACGTCCGAGCACGCAGGACCGCTGCCCCGGGACACCTGTAGCAGCCAGCGCAGCAGCACGGTGTCGGGGGGCACGCGGAAGTGGAAGAGCCTGGCGCTGCCATACCAGCTGTAGAAAGACAGCTTCTGCGGGGACTGTGAGAACTGCTCCGATACCAGCCGGACGTCTGCGGGGAGACGGCACCATCAGCAGGGCCCCCACCTCCTCGCGGGGTCTGCGGGGAGAGGCCGGAAGCCGTGGCGGGTGCCAGGTGGCTGACCCTGACCCATCGCCGTCCACCGAGGCCCCAACCCGGCAGCGGGCCCTGGCTCGGCAAGTGCCCAGGACTCACAAGCTTTCCCTCTGCCATCACATTCCCACCCAGCTTCCATGCACCCAAGACCAAATCGCGCCACCCCCGCCATCGCCATCCATCTCTCCAGGGCACTGCTGGACCCTGAAGCCATTTCTCCATCAACTGTGCCAAGATAGCCGGCATCTCACCCACCGGGCACCCCTTATCACTCACGGCAGCTTCCAGAACGAGTCCCCCAGCACGTCACCCCAGATGCCTCAGACCTTGGAAGCAGGACAGGCCGCATCCAGCCTGCCCTCTAGACCCACCTTCTGCGTGGCCTCACTCGGTCCCCCTCACCATGCAGCCCCGGCAAGTCCGGGGCCGAGATGGAGGCCGAGGGCCGCAGGAAGTGTGCAGGGGGGGAGCCCGGCCCCGCGTCACACCTGCCCTGGGCACCAGATACCAGAGCGGATACCAGGAGGGTCCCTCCACCTCCTCAGAGCCTCCCCTGCCCCTGCTGTGCGGCCTGCATGGGTCCCCCTGCCAGATGAGGGGATTCAGGTCTGGAGGCTGGCCACCTGTTCAGGCCCACGATGACCTGATCAGAGCCTAAATCCCCGACCACCCAGGGCGGTGGCGAGCAGAGACCTGGGGGGGAGAGGAAACCCAGGCCAGAAGACTGGCCAGCTGTGAAGACAAGGGGGCAGCCGTTCCCCGTGCTCTGGTGGGCGTGTGTCCACGCAGAGTGGCGCAGACAGGGCAGGGGCCCAGGCTGCAGACTGCGTGTGGCCCCGGCCTGGGGCTCGCCCCTGGGCCCACCCTCGGAGCGGCTCTCGGGTCTCCACCTCAGTCGCTCCCCAGCTCCCCTCCCCTCCCCCTCTGAGCGTGCGCCCTGACGCTCAGTCTGTGTCACGCCAACTTGTCCAGGGCTGGCTCTGAGTCTCCTGGGGTGGCCCCACCCTGGATCAGGCCCCTCCTGGGAGTGTCCACTGACTGAGCACATCCTGCACCAGGGCAGCTGTCCAACCCCACAAATGGTGCCCCCCCACCCTCCCTCTTGGGGTTCCCACAGAACAGAAACACCCTTGGTGTCCTCTGTGCTCTTGGGGGCAGCCCAGCAGGTGGGTCCCGCCATGAGGTGCCTGGGCTGGAAGGCAGGGGGTCCAGCCCCAGTCCCAGCTCAGACCTCAGACCTCCTGTGACCTTGAGTGTCCCTTTCTCTGGGTTCCAGCTTCTTCGGGAGTTGGCTGAGGTGGACGGCACCTCCCCGCAGGTGCCCTGCCCTCCAAAGTTAATGGATATGGAAGTGCTTCTGGAAGCAATGTGCTGTGGACACAGCAGGGTGCGGCTTCCCTCGCCTCCAAGCGGACCTCCCTCCGCCCCACCGGGGGAGTGGCTGGCTGCCACACTCCCAGAGCTTGCCCAGGGCCCGTCAAGGTGGGCTGGCCGGCGGGGGCAGGTAAGGGGGCCAGGCGAGCGATGCTTCTGCCAGCCGCCTGACCTTCCCAAGGAGGCACCTCGAGAAAAGACGGTAACCCACTTATAAAGTCGTGCTGAGTTCGAGGGGCCCCACAGCGCGGGTGGGAAGGGGTGGGCTCCATGCAGGACGGGACCCAGACTTTCCAGGCGGCTCCGGGCCACCTTCCCGTCAGGCCGCCTGTGGCCCGAGTACTAGGAGGCCAGGAGCTACCGAACTGACACCGGCTCCCTCCGAGGCTGCCGCGGCCCTTAGGGTAACACGACGAGAAGGGCCGAGAAAAGCGCTAGGGGGCCGAGGCACGACAGTTCCCGTGCTCGCCTCAGGACCAGGGGGCCTGGGAGAGACAGTCAGCCAGCTGGGCCCCCAGCACCTTGATCTGAAAGGGCAAGGCCTCCGGCCCCTGCCAGCCCTGGGGTGCCAGCCTGAGCACACCTGGGACACAGCTGGTAGCCCTGAAGTTCCGGCGGGTGCCTGAGACAGGAGACCTGCTCGAAGTCACCCTTAGACCCCGTGGCTACAGCCCGGCCCCCCTGCCCACGGCGCCGCGGCTGTTGGCGTGCTGAGCGCCAGGCGGTGAGCACATTGCCTCCGATATCAGGGAGCACCGGCTTCCTGCACGCCAGCCCTGCCCCACGGTCCCTGCCAAGCACACAGGGTCAGAGGGAAAGGCGAAAGGTCAGAGTCCTGAGCCTGTCCTGGGAACCCCAGTGAGGGCACACGACCCCACTCACTCTGAAGCAGGACCCGGGGCCGGTGCGGAGACCCTACCCCTGCCCACACCCTGGACGCCGGCGCCACGCGGCTGCCTGCCTCCTCAGGAGACGAGGGGCTGCCCCAAAGTCTCCGTCTCCATAAGCCCCCCTCATAAGTGAGCCCTCACCCAGCCCTGAACCCAGGGTGGAGAAAAGGCTGCATGTGAGGATGGCAACATCCAAGGGAGCAGGTGAATCAGGGCCGGCCTCGGGGGACACCACCTTCCTTTCAAGCTGTGCCAGGCTCAGAGACCACCGGCACGGCCCTCAAGGCAGTAGGGGCGTGGAGAGAGGCGGGGAGCGGGGAACCGGAGGGGGCGCGCCCCAGGCCGGGCTGGATATGCTGCCTGCTGTCCCCGAGAGCACCTGGGCCCCCCAGCCCCGCCGGCCCAGCCAGGAGGCTCTCGGGGAGGCCCAGGCCCGGTCAGGGGACACTACTCAGCACGCCCGGGGGTCTTACCCCAGACCGGACGCTGAGGGGCCGCCTGCGGTCTAGCCACCTCCTGGGAGCTCACTCCAGGGTGCAGACTAGAGGCGCAGAGCCACCTGGCCCGCCGGGTTCCTCAGTCCAGCGGGGAGTCCAGCCTCCGGGACGCAGTGCCAGCTGCTGAGAGTCAGGGCACTCGCTGGCTGTCGCTGTGTGAGGGGTGAAGTCGCTACACCCCCCGGGCCCCACTCCAGGATCTAAGCAACTTTCTCCCAACTCCGCCGGTCTCAGAGGCCAGACGGGGGCCCTGGGGTCCCACCGCACAGCCCTTCTTCCCAGCGGGCCTTGCGGCCGGAGCCTCGGGTGGGTCCCCCTGCGCCCCTGCACCTCCCGTCCCTGGGCCGTCGGTCGGCCCTACCTAAACGCGTAGGGAGGAAACAGGAAGGGAGGGTGCGCTACGAGGGGCCCGTCGGGCCGAACTCGGCCCTGGGGACAGCGGAGGGGGCGCTGGCGTCCTTTCCAGCCGACTGCTCCCATACAGGATGCTCGCTGGGGTTGTCCCCAGCCGGCGCGGGGCCCTGGGCCCTGAGCCCGCGCCAGGTGAGCGCACAGACGCCCCCGGGGGAGTCACAATCCCGACCCCGCCCCCCCGCCCCCCCCCCCATGGCGCCCTCGGGTCCGCTCAGGCTCACCGCTCTTCCTGCCGTCGCCGGCAGCGGCAGGCGGGGCCCGGGCGAGCAGCAGCAGCAGCAGCGGCCCGGCCACCGCCGCCGCCCCCGCCGCGCCCCGGGTCCCGGTCCCGGTCCGACCCATGGCTCCGCGCTCGGCCCGGCGCTACCCGGACCGCGTCCCCGGCCGCCCGCCCCCGCCGCCCGGGCAGCCGCCGCCGCCACTGCGGCCCCCGCCGCCGCCTCTGCCCCCGTGCGCTCTGGCCCCCAGAGGGCTCTGCCCCCTCCCACCCTCGCCCGCCGCCGCCTCTGCCCCGGGCTCCCATCGTCCCGGCCGGTCCCCGCCGCCGGCGCCCCGGGCACTTCCGCCTGCGAGGCCCCGCCCCGCCGGGTGCCCTGCCCGAGCCGGACCCGGGGACTCGGGTCGCAGAGAGGGTGTAGGCGGAGGAGGGGGGGGGGCGAGGGCAACGCGGGGACGCAGGGGGCGCAGGGGGAGGTCGCCGACTGAGGGGAACGCGGACCCACGGCCACGCGCGCAGATGCGGGGAGGCGGGGCGAGATAGGGTGGAGGGCCTCGCGGGGCGCACGGGGTCGTGGGACGGAGGGGACACGGGGGGCGTGGGACGGAGGAGGAGGGCGGGACGCGGGGGCGCGGGGCGCGCGGGGGTTGTAGGGCCGAGGGGACTCGGGGGACGTGGAACAGAGGGTGCGGGAGAAGTGGGACCGAGGGGGCGCGGGGGACGCGGGGCCGGGGGTGGGGACACCGGTGGGGGGCAGAGGGCTGGGGCGGGACCCAGGCGGGCAGGAGGGGGACTTGGGACCGAGGGGCCGCGGTGGGGCAGAGGGCAGGGCCCAGGGATTCAGAGGGAATGTGGCGGGACAGGAATTGGAACGCACGAGGGGCGCCTGGGGGGCTCAGTCGGTTGAGTGTCCGACTTCGGCTCAGGTCATGATCTCGCGGTTCGTGGGTTCGAGCCCCGCTCTGTGCTGACAGCTCAGAGCCCGGAGCTGCTTCAGATTCTGTGTCTCCATCTCTCTCTGCCCCTCCCCTGCTCACGCGCGCTCTCTCTCAGAAATAAAAAACAGTTAAAAATTTTTTTAAAAAAAGAAAGAATTGGAACACACTATACATTTGAGGCGGGGGATGCAGTTCCTGGCGTCCACGCGACGGGTGCGTCCAGTTCCCTGACGGGTGAGCAGGAGAAGAGCGCTGATGGCCGCGGGGCTGGGCGCGCGGGGCGCGGGTGGAAACTCGCCACCACCACCGGCGCGTCCTGGGCGCCTGGGCCTCGCCTCCCTGGGCCTGACTCTGAGAGCAGGACTGCCCAGGCCAGGCCTCCCGGCCCTTCACACCCTTCGCACCACGAAACCCATCCGGCTACAAGCGAGTGTGAAGACTTTTATGGAAAAATGCGGTGTCTCCTTGTATGTATGGGAATTTCTAAGGTGGCCGTTGGCATCAGTGAGTGGGATTCACCCCTCACCCTTCACATTGGGTTAGATTCCAAAGAGGTTATGGATTTAGGCGTTAAAAAGAAAGACTAGAAGAAAAGTTGGGGGAACTTTTTAGAGTCCTGGGGAAGCGAAGGCATTTCCTCAAACCCAGAAGACTAGGGGCCAGACTGAGAAATTCAACTACGTGAAATCAAAGCTTCCACAGCTTTCTGCGTTCAGCAAGGTCAAAACACAATCCATGACCTGGGAAGGTCAGGCTTGCAGCTCCTGCCGCAAGGGGGTCCATCGCAATACGACTGACAGTAATAAAGAGTTTAATAACGTAGAGCCCCCACATATGACTAACAAAGTCCCCTCTCCAATAAATCCCAGGAGACTCCTGCAAGGGCTATGCAAACAGGCTCCATTCTCCGTCCTTAGAGAAATGCAAGTTGAAAAGCACCTAGATGCCTGTTTTTCTTATATCTAACAAACCTGCAAAGTTCAGAAAGCTTGATCACCTTGGCAGTGTGAGATTGGGGACCCATAATCATCCCTGTATTTAGCCAGCAGCAGTTAGAGCTTCCGGAAGCCTCTCGACTCAGCAAAGTGACAAGAGCACATAGCTTTGCCTCACTCATCCCACCGTTGTGTGTTTCCTGCAGAGATGCTCCTGGAGGGCGAGGCTGCATGGGGTCCAGCATACGGCCGGGCACTGGTCACCAGGCAATGGCGCGTTCAAATCACGAACACTCCTACCACGACCCAAACACTGACACGACACGAGTGGGTCTGAAAGAGAAACTGTACTGACAGGGCGAGGTCTACCAGATGTACCGTTAGCTGAAACAAGAAAAGGGCAGAACGAGGTGTCCAGAAAGCTACCATTTCTGTAGGAAAACGTTCTTAATTTGCCTGCACCAAAGGGTAGAATGACGGGAAGCATCGGGCAGCAGGCTGTGCTGAATGACTGGGGGAGGGAACCGGATGGCCAGGGGCTGGAAGGAGGGGCTTCACCTGTTGGTACCTTTTTGCATTTTGCACTGCTTGGGACAGGGGGCTGGGGGTTGTTTGTGAGAGTTTGAAGAAGGGAGGGAAGGAGAAACTGACGCAGCCGGTCAAGTCCGGGCTGGAGAAGTGGGGTGGAGAGTGGAGTCCCAGGGAGGACAAAGGCCAAGGTGTGAAGCCGTCAGAGACCCTTTGTTCCTTCGGGATCTTGGCTGGGCCCTCCTCACCCCGGGCAGCAGGGGACTCCCTGGCCATTCTCAATTTAAAGGGACAGAGGTCAGTTCTGGGAGTCTGCTGAGCGGCGATTTCGGTGCACCGTGCTGACGCAGAGTCCTGCTGGGACAGCAGCTGTGGTCAGCACTGGGCACCGGGGGCCGCTCTGCCCCGGGCGGGGCTCCCGTCCCCCACGGGCCCTCCCCGAGCGCGGGGCCTGCCCTGAGTGTGTGCCTGCAGCGTGAGGCTCCTGTACCCAAGGTCCCCACCAGGCAGGAGGGGAGGTGACAGACACGCCCTGTCCCAGTGCTGTGTCTGGGGGCAGGTGAGTTTGTAGATGGACCTGGAGGCCTCGCTGGAGGCCGGACACCTGTGCTAAGTACCAAAGCGTTAGCAGTGGGAAGAACCCCACGACCGCCTTGGAGGGCCTCCGTGTAAAGGCGGGAAGCTGAGACCCCCATTGGGGAGGGTCCTGGCCAGGGAGAGGCTCTTGTATTCCACTTCAAATCACATAGAAAAATTAATTCTAAGGACTTAGAACACATCCCTTAGATAAAAGGGAAATATTTTACTAAGCAAGATGGACAGGAGACTGGGGAATCCTGAAGGAAGAGTTACTCGTTTGACTACATTTTTTTAAATGTTATGTAAAAGGGGCACCTGGGTGGCTCAGTTGGTTGAGTGACCCACCCTTGATTTCTTCAGCTCAGGTCATCTCACATTTCGTGGGCTCGAGCCCCGCGTTTCACTCCACACTGACAGCCTGAAGCCTGCTTGAGATTCTGCCTCCCTCTCTGCTCCTCCCTCACTTGTTCTCTCTCTCTCAAAATAAATAAACATTTAAAATAATAAAATATAATTGTTATTTTAAAAAATGTTATGTAAGTAGGGGCACCTGGATGGCTCAGTCGGTAGAGTACATGACTTTTTTTTTTTTTTCCGGAGTGAGCAGGGGAGGGGCAGAGAGAGAGGGAGAGAGAATCTCAAGCAGGCCAAACCTCAGGAATTGTGAGATCATGACCTGAGCCCAAATCAAGGGCCAAACGTTTAACTGACTGAGCCACCCAGGTGCCCCAAGCACTTGACTTGATCTCCAGGTTGTGAGTTCAAGTCCCACTTTGGGGGTAGAGATTACTTTTAAAAAATGTTGCATAAGTATAAAAGCTGTGAAAGTAAAAAGTAGGATAAAAGTCATCAAGTCAAAAGACACACGGGAGAGTGTATGTGCCATGCATGTGATAAAGGGCTACCTAAGAAGGAAGTTTATACGTTGAAACCAAAAGAAAACTAGACTCACGCTATATACAGGCCATCACCGGAGAGGGTGAGGGAAGATTCCAGCGGCCGCTTCGGGCGCGCTGCTCAGACACCCTGGTGACTGTCAAGCTGCCAGTGTAGTTTTCACACCCAAACACGCTATCTGTCAGAAGGCCTCACACGTCAGCAGGTGCCCAGGGGATGCGGGCGCCTCAGCCTTCACAAGGTTACCGTGGCAGCGTGAGCACGTGCAAAAGCACGGGACCCTCGGGACAGACACACAGGGCGTTGACTGCAGAAGGCTGCGTCCTGGTGGGGACCTGGGAGCTCCGTGTGACCCCCCTCAGCCGTGGCGGACGATGACACAGACGTAAGTGAATCTCGGCACAACTTCCATCCTGGCCTACGGGACTCCAGCAGACTACTGGCGGGGACAGTCCAGGTGCCGGCTAACGCGGGCACGTCCCATTTCCCGCCTGGAAGGCTCTCGGGTCCGCTTCCGGCTCTGTGAGTGTAGACCGAGTGGGTCGACGTCCATTCACAAGGAGGGGAAGGCAGAGCGGCAGAAGAGGGGTTTTCCCCACACACAGCCCGTGTCTGGCCACAAGCATTATTGTCTTTGCTGTGGATAAAAATGTCAAAACTTAACAACAACAACAACAAGAAAACCACCCACGATTCAGTTTTATTCAAATAATCAGAGGAAGAGCTGCAGCACCTGGATTTTGAGGATGCCACCGAGGCCTCAGGACCACCCGGTGGAGGCAGAGAAAGTGCAGCCAGCTCTCTCCCATCACCCTCCCCTCCCACCTGCCTCACTGCCAGCTCCAGGCTCCCTCCCTCCCCCCCCTTCCTGGTGGCTGCAGGCAAGCGGTGCTGGCACCCAGGGCCCAGCTGGCATCTGGCCCCGACTCCCACGGCTTCCCTTCCAGCTAGAGGCAGGTGCCTCAGACACCCTGGCTGCTCTCTTCCATCCGATCTGTCTTCCGGACCCGCATGTGTTCCTCCTCCAAGTGTAGGAGGCCCTGTGAAGACCCCAGGTCAGAGGAGCTCCCTTCACCCCACCCCCCAGCGCAGGTCACCCAGAGGCAGGAGTGGGTCAGCCCAGCAAGGTCTGGAGGCGCCCCGCCTCGTCGGCATAAACTGGACCAGGGTGCCCTGACCTCTGGCTTCACAGGAACGGTTTACCCCAAAGTTTTGGGAACAACATAAGGTTTTTGAATCTTTATTTTACCAAAATAAAGTTGTTGTTTTCAGTCCAAATACCATC